AAGATGAAGGAGGATGCTAATAGTATTTTGAACTTTCAGAATTTCTCTTTTTATTTGATGATTTTTCATAATGTAACGGCTTGGCATTCAATTTTAATCTTTCAATTTATTAAAACGTTTCCATTTGATTAAATTTAGCTTACACACTGCTTTGCTTCATTAGGAATCATTTGCTTATTGTTGTATGTTCCTCTTAACCGTTGCTAATTCATCCGAGTAAATTAATGGTACTAATATACATATAAATGAGAATTTAAAGAGGAATTAAATTTAGAAAATTCGGCAGTTTGACATTTAGCATATTTTCTTTCTTGAATAATAACATTAGAAAGTTTGTAATTAAACCATGAAGCTAATTTGTTGAACTATTTCCACTATGCTGACAAGCAAAATATACTTCTATTTGCTCAACTCCTTTTATTTACTTTTATAATTGCTATTTTAAATATAATTGTTCTTTCACAATATCCTCTTTGAAGATTAAACATCTTCATTTCATTCAAAAAACTGCCCGAAAAAACTTCCCAAAACTGAAGCTTTTTGCAAGTAATACAAGGCATATACAATTGAAATCAATTATTTGTCATAAATTAGGCATTTAGGAAGACAAAAATAATTTTCAAAATTGAAATTACAGATTATTGAGTGCATTTGCTAAATACGTACACTGACTTATTTTTTAATTAAAATTCTAATGGTAGAATATCTTAGCATAAGTCGAAATAAGTGTTAATGTCATTTTCGAATTTGAGTGAAAGTTTTCTATCTCAACAATGTTTGAATCACAGTTGTTTGTCTGAGCTTCAGGTTAATGTAACACAATGGTAACAGTTATCAATTATCAGAAACATTCAATGTTTTTGATTAGATTTCTGCAAAATATCGATATTCACAGAAAATTCAAGATGTAATCAAATGAGTGTTTCGATATGAAAGTATTTTTGAATCAGATGATTGCAGTTTTGTCGAGAAAAATCCATCTTTACCGACGTGATGATAGAATTGCTCGTGCTTCTTATGCTAACATAATAATATTCGGTGGGATAAATAGAAAAGAAAAAGGCATTCAGCGAAATTTATGAATTTTAACAATCAATAAAAAAGCGTAATTGAAAGAAAACAACGAACAACAAATCCCATTATGCTGAGTACATCACTTCGAATCGATCAAAATTTCAACGGTCAAAGGCAATGATATATACACTTACTAACGAAGAACATAGTATTGTAACCAATTACATTTGAAATCTTACTCTCAACTATCTTTGTAAACCGAACCTTTCACTTTGCCTATTTATTTCCATTCAAATTAATCGTATCATTTCTACTTCACAACTCTTTCTTCCTCTTTTTCAACCATCAAACTATAAAAACGAATTTTGCTGATACCAAAATTTGAGTCATAATTGAGAAAATCGGCTGTTTTCATCACATTTTAAAAAAATAATAATAACAAGCCATTCTTTTTTTTAAACTTTCTTTCCAACTTCCACATATTTTATTTGCGTCGAATCATTTCATGAAAATTCATTCAGCTGTCATTTAGAATCTGGAAATCGCTGCTCTATTGAATTAAGGTACATTCCTCAGTTTTTTTTTTTTTTTTCTGTATTTAAACACGAGACATAAATTTTTTTCAATCTCAAAATTTAAAAAATTTTACTGAAAGTTTTTGTCGAATATCATTCTTTCATTAAACTAATTTGCCTAGAGAGAAATTTCCACGCAATGTTGTCAATATGAGAAATTGCCAGTTAACATTTAAACTCATTAACACTTAGTTGACAAAATTTCTTTCCATTAATAACAGAAATGCAAATATCTTTTAGTACATTGAATTTAACTCAGATGGCGATATTTATATCTTCAAATCTCCATACAATTTACATATCCATCCGGGCAAAAATGTTCAGTTTGTATCCTTTTTCAAGCAAGTAATGCACTTCCTGAATTTTAATTATTTCTACACGAATTGATTGATATTCACAACAGCAAAAAGACAATATGAATTGCACCACTATGGAAATTGCTTCAACTTATCGATGTATAAAGCTGATACCTTCGTTCCACAAGAAAAAAGAGATTTCTGACAGTAGAAAATCAATACGATGAGCTAAAAATTGCAAATAATCTTTTAGTCCATTGAATTTAACTCAGATGACAATATTTACATCCTTCAAATGTCTAAATGAATTATGAAGTTAGTCACATTGAATATTCAAAACATTCATAAAAAATCCAACGTAATGATATATATAAGGAAATAAAGATAGTTCAATAGGTCAAACTTTGGAGAAAATAAATCAAATACGATATTTTCCTTTTGAATCAATGATTCATACAACGAACTAATTAACAAATGATATGATTCACATTCACCGGATCCGGTTGAAAAATTAATAAATGATTCTTACAATGTTAGCGTCAGTCAGAATTATTGCGATTGTTCTCGATAGAAATATGAAATTAAGCCTGAACATGATAACTGATCCTGCATAGAACGGATTGCGAATACGTAATCGTAAAGATAATTATAGAAATCAGTCTTATATCCATCATTATTATTACATTATTACTTACTCAAAAAATCATTCCAAATGTATGCAAATTGTTGCTCCTTGCAAGATGTTCATTTTAACATCTTGCAGGATTTAGAGTAAGAGAAAATTATCCAATGTTAAGAAACACAATCAGCCTGTCTCGCAGTATTAAAAGAAAATCAGAAAATCAACAAAATTATCTCTATTATTTATTTAACAAATTCTTACTTATCTTAGAGATCGTCAATATATCTCGCATTTGAATTAGTACTTTTAATAAATCTCTAAGGTTTTGGTGAATATCCACTGAAAACATTCCAAACTGCTCCCATTCACTAATAAATCTATAAATGATACGAGAAAAGTTGTTGATGAAAATAATTTGCTGCAAATTCTAAAATTGAAATTTTCAGATTAAATGAAACAAAGAGAAACTTTGGAAAAAAGAAAAATCCTAGAAAAGAGTAATAGTGTGTGTATCTTATAGTTCTGTTAAAACTTACTTCAGCTAGGTTTCTCATTCATGGTCTCAATATTTAACAGAACAACACAAATATGTCTTTTCCTTATTCAATTCTTTTGGATTTCTTGCTATTTTCATACTATAGCCAAGTATTCTGTTCGAATTTTCTGGACAGTCTTTTTTATTGACTAGGTTTTTCGTATTATTGCTTAAATTAGTGGCAAAAAAAATTTTTCTTCTTTTGAACATATGAGCTATCTCTATTTAAATGATTTTGGTAATAAATAATGTGGTTAAATAGATTAAATATTGAATTTTAAAAATGAATATTGTATGAAATATTGCATTTGAATCTTTTATATATATATTTTTATTGTTGAACTTCTTGTCACTTGAAAGTGGCAGTAGCGTATTCGAATAAGAATATTTTATTCATTCCTTATTCCGAAAGCAGAACGTGATATACTTTAGATGAAATTGCAAAACACGATGAAAGTGGCAGAAGAATTAAATATAGTGACCTGCGAGATTCGAGATGAAATGTTGCAACGCAGAGGAAATGCAAAAAAAGCAATTCAGGAACGAGAAAAAGTCAATTTCTGATCCCTGTAGAGTTTGATTTTTCAGATGCTCAAAGTTTTTTTGTGATCATATTTTTGTTCTTATTATCTCACATCCATCCTATAATGGATTAATTATGTCTTTCATTGTAACTTTCAAACATCTATGCGAAGAACATCAAAGGTACATTAGAGTTGCAGGCCAAAAAAAATTAAATGTGGATAAACTTAAGAGAGTCAGACCCTAATATTCCGAGAGTTAAAAAGGAGGAGGAAGAAAAGAAGGGACATTTTTAGGAGCTTCCATAAAGGTTGTTCATGTTACTTTTTCTTTTTTTACTAAGTTTCAATTGTGATTTGTTACGCTACTAATTTCAACTCACTTAAATTTCTTTTGATTAAAAAAAGTAAAAGTGCAGAGATAACCTATTTGCTGGTGATAAAAGTCGGTGAATTAAGTGATATGGAAACCTTATCACATATTACGTTGGATAGAAAAATTAAACTTTTATCACTGATGCATCAAGCACAGCTAGTCAACAATTTTTTAATTGTCAATCAAAGAAATATGAATTCGAATGCTAATTTAATTGCTAAAATGTTACTTATATTAATACATTTCACACTGACATTTGAGTATCAAAAATTACCTATTTCATATAAGAATAATCGATTCAACATATAAAGCTATCAAATCTGTTCAATTCATTGTCTTGTAGCAGTTTGCATCCAATTTGTGACTGGCGCTGTTGTCACTGTTGTACCGGAATTTTTTTTGCAGATAAGGTTGTGGTTAAACAACAGGAAAGTCATTCTAGAAACACTAATGTGTCACTAAATTGTCATATGAGGTTGACATATCAGTGCAGAGCTCCTCAGAGTTACTTTCTGACTGCATTTTATCAAAAAGTTTCAAAATAACATCACTAATAATAGGTGCTCTTGGTGGCAAAATAATGAAGGACCACTTACCCATCCAATGATTGCACCAGAATCCATGATATAGTGGTCGACACAAATAGCACCCACTTATTAGTGAACACAAATGGATGGATAATCAATATAAAAGTATACGATATATAAATTACTCCAAGTATGCATGACTGCAATGACAATAATTTAAAAGTATTGCATAACATTGGCATTTGTTTGTTCGTATTGCTTGCAATTCTCGAAGAAAGCACGCTGAATCTATCGCTCAGTTTTGTAACCTTTAATGGTCATTTCTAAGTAGCCTTCAGTGTAGTTCTAATAATAATTTGAAACTCCGAGATTTGGGATGAAATGTTGCAACGCAAAGGAAATGCAGAAACAACAGTTTAGGAACGAGAAAAAGTCAATTTTTGGTCTTTCTCTTTTGAGATTGATAATTCAAAGTTTTTTTTTTCTTTATTAGTTATCTGTTTTTGAATGTGTTTGAAAGAAATATTTATTAAGATGTTTTTCATATTTGCAGCATTGCGAACAAATTCATGTTTTAAAGCGCAACTTATGGATGCAAATCGAGAACGCATGAGATATATGAATGATTGTGCTACATACAGTGAAAAATTGACCGAAATGGAAACTACAAATGCAGAGGTAAGGAATTAATTACTTTTACTATCTACATTCATTTTTTATAAAGCTTTCAAACCAGATAGCAAAATTTTGCTTTCTTTGGCTAATTTATTTGCCCAGCCGGAGTAAAGTTTTGTGCATACTAATAAGCCCTTATATGCTATGGGCAGATTATTTAACAGTACTTTCCAAACTTTGATCTGCCTATATTGAATCTTTTATTCCTTGGTTAAAATATTAATTTGAAGATGTTTTTGCAGTTAAGCAATAAGCTGGAAGCACTGCAGAGCGCAACTGCAATGAGTGATGCAAATTGTGGAGAATTAAAGAAGGAAGTTGAAAAATACCGAAAACAGCTTCATGATGTTATGGAAGCCCATGATAAAGTGATTTTTTTCTCATGATAATCTCAATTAATTTGCTTTAAAGGATTTAATGTGACCGCTTTTTCTGCCTACGACGATTTTATTGTAAGAATGCAAAATGAAACGAATAATATTCTATCAGTCCAATCTGAAAGCAAAATTTGATTTGCTAAGATTTGACTTGAAAAACTTATTTTCTTGTAAAAAAATTTCGTTTTTCTTTATCTGATTCAAAAAATTTTGTTTTCTAAAGGAATTTTTATAGCAAATTTACATTTTAGAATATAACATCCTTGTCTTTCAGGATATCACCAAGCTAAAGAATGAATTAGAATATATGCAGGAAGAAAAGGAAAAATATGCTAAGCAGATGTCTGTCGAGTAAGTAATTTCTCTCTTCTTTTAAAGTATTACTAATCACTGGAGTAGTACCCAACGGTTCAACTTCTTAAAGAAATATCATACTGGGATATCGCAGTCAGTGACGATGAGAGCTCAAAAGACTAATGAACTAAACCCGACGCATTTTTAGGCGCATTTTGTCTAACTATTCAAATTAAACCTATTTGGCACAAAAAATCACCCGGAGGCATACACCACTTCCACAAAACTCGCAACCTCACAAGTGTACGTGTGTTCCTCCCCATGACAAAAGGGATATTCCGAATATTGACGTTTATTAAGTCTGCACGACACAGAGTGAGATATCCTATCTCTTCTTGTCAAGAAATGTCATAGTAATGCTGAAACAATCACAATATTTTATGTACTGTTTATTTTATATATTAATAGGAAGCATAGTAAAATACCGGAATAACGAAAATTCAAATTTCACCATCATCGATGTTATTAACCTAATTGCGTTGATAGAAGTATGAACATATCTTCAGGAAAACATTTCTTGTTTACAACGTCCCGTGTATTTCTTATTTAAGGGTAGAAATTTCCTAGTTACCCTTAAATTCAATTTCAAATTTAATATTTGAGAACATGCTTTCATTAATGAAAATAAGTAGTAATAATATATCTTTGATTTATCCTTTCCATCAATGTCTTATTCGATAGCACTCGTCGAATCATTGCCCATAATGGAATAGGCTTAACTTGCTTATCGAATTATGCTTAATCGTTAAAAGTAATAGTATTTTGGCAGATTCCTTCAAGTGCACCATAATGTCTGAGAATAGTGAGTTTGAAGACAATATTGCAATGGGCTGCATCGCTGCGGTTAGTATTTCACCAAATATATAATTGATTATTAAATTTGGTATAAATAAAAATAGAACCATCAGTCAGTCCCTTATTGAGGCACTGATATTTGATTCTGTAAAAATCCTAGGATCATAAACGTAAACACGGAATTTGAAGTTTATCATGTTACTAATGCCATAAAAATTGTAACCTTCTTATTTCAAATTCATAAAGTTGGTCGGTTTTATTACTTTAACAGAATGCATTATAGATATCGGTCTTCGGACTGATTAGCAATGGCTTGTCCTTTTATTTAACACGTACAAGATCACGTTTCCGTAATGCATTTGGAATTTTATGCAGTAGCTTTCTAATCTGTAATTTGCAAGCTATAATTGTTCTTCTCACGTGGTGTACCATTGTTCTAAGTCTGTAAGTTCTACTTATGAAAATGAAATTTTTTAATTTCTCATTATTTACGAAATTTTCTTCCGGTTTTTTGTTTTATTTGGAAAATTCCATTTGAGGAAGTCTCCAATATTATCGTCACCAGAACTGTTTTCCGTACGATTAGTTGGTGTTATTTTGAACGGAGCATGGTTTGGGTCGATTCTTATGCATTTTTTAACAGCCATCAATAGATTCTTTGCTTTCGTTTATGCGACAAGGTACAATCAGTTATGGTCAGAAACGAGGACTTTCAAAATTGCGATCATCTTTTGGACAATCTCAATGGTCTACTGCACCCATCATTTGTACGGTAAGCAATTGATTTGATCATATCTTTTGCTTGCAAGACATGCGTAACTTGCAGCATGCGCAACTTGCAACATGCAAAAATCCTTTGTCATTCCTTCATGAAAATTGCAGAAAATTGTTCGCTTCTATTTAATTATGGCTCGAAGTATCGTTGGTTACATCACACTTCTTACCATGGTCAGATATGTGCCAGAATTGATGCTATAGTATCAGTAGCTCTGATAGTAGCAATGGCATGCACTGATTTTATTACCTTACTCAAAATAATTGCATATCACAGAGTAAGTTAATTTCTGATAAAGAAATGTCTTAAGGAACTGATAAATCTGATATGCAGATTACAGACAACGATTATTTCTTGAACTTTAGACAATGCGAAGAAATACGACAGAGTCAACAACTGTTAGTGTTATTAATGAAAAAGAAGTATTGTTCTTCAAACAGGTAATAATGAGAAATTGAAAAAAAATGTTTATGAAAGAAGTGAGGAAAAGCTTGATTGCTGCAAGAGTTAGTCGATCAAGTTTAAATTCCGTTTAAAGCTTGAATTTTAAATTCCTTACTTCATATCATTTATATTAATATCACTCTTGAGTCATGCAAACTTGGCTTGCTTTACATCTCATGTGCTGTAACATACAATATTCCTTCATATTTATTGACCGATAAATGGATGCTATTCATATCAAGCACGATCGCACTACTTTTGGTGCATTCACTAGATGGGTAAGTTTTTTTCTGTTAAAATTATTTCCCAAAACCCTTGGTTTTATAAACTTACTAATTATTTGATTTGATGCAACAGTTCAGGTGGCATGTGTTGTGAATGTTGGATTGGATTGGTGTTGTGAATGGATTGAATTGGGTTGTTTTACTTGCACAATTGAGTCGAGTGCTTTATCTTGGGTAATTAAACCAAACAAGCAATCAGCAGTTTGACAATTTAGTGAGGAGGATGAGCTAAGCAACGGGGAGACTTCTGGAACAATCCTTCGGTTGAGTGGTAATTGCCCTTATATAGCATGATTTGAGGGTGGAGAGATAAAGCGATTGATACAATGGAAGCTAGGAGGAAGGCTATGGGAAAGATAGTTTTTGTAAACGGAATTAGATAACAAACAAAGGATTGGAAAGATGTGCATTAGATAATATGACAGATTAGCACGGGAATTTGTTAACACATTACCATCTATGAGTCATTAAAGAATTTGAATTACAATAAAACTTACAATAAATGATTAACATGATTTGCTTAAATATAAATACATTGATTTAAATTTGACCCTTTGCTAAATTCGATTGTTCGGTACAAAGATTATTTCTAGTGGAATTTCGAGCTTGTTCTCGACAGCATGTCTTCATACATTCAGTATCGATCGCTCAAAAGAAAATGTTCATTTTTCAGATTGATTTTTCTGGTTTTCAACCGGAAGCTTATTTGCAAAACAAATTTCGATGGAACATCAATAGCACCAGCTACAAATTTTCAAGTAAATCGACGAAGTGAATAGTTCTCATGCATTTTTTAAGTGACGGATTGGTTATTTCCACATGAAATTGCACATTTTTTTTTTCGGTTATAATCTTTTGCAAATTAATTTGGTTGTTTTAGCGATTAGCTAGGTGCGGTACATTTGTCGGTGGCTTTTCAAGCTTTGGGCTTTTCAAGACTAATCAAATATTATTTGATGTTTTGAAAGATTGTATGCATTGAAATAACTGATTTTGCTTTATACATTGTTCTAAGAGATCTATAAACATATTTCCATGAAATATCCCTTGTTTACAACACCGATGTATTTCTTATGTAAGGGCAAAAAATTCCCACTTAAATTCAATTTGAATTCTCACTAATGAAAATAAGTAGTGGTGATAATGTACCTTTGCCTTACCTCTTTTCATCTACTTCCTAGCTTCATTTTCCTAGCTTTGTTCAATAACACTTCTCGAACCATTAAGCGTGGTCAACAAGGCTAAATGATCAAATTTAACTAAATTTTTAACTTAATTGTATTTTTCGCCAATTTCTTCAAGTGTGCCATAATGGGTAAAAACAGTGAGCTTGAAGACGATATTGCAATAGCCTGCATTACTATGGTTGGTATTTTATCAACATAATTAATTAATTAATTGGTAGTTTTGGTTTAGATAATCATACGGAGATAAGAGCTGAAAACCAAGGACGATGCAAAGACAATTTTCTTTCCATTAGATACTAAAAAGGATGTAAGCTTTTTCAACGAGCATTGAAACGAGCAAGAATGTGCAAGTTGAAGCTCACGGATTACAGTCTGAATTCTATTCAAGAACAGTATTTTCCATCAATTTCACACTTTTATTTCAAATGCATCTTAGGTAGCGATTTTTGGATTACTCAGTAATGGAATGTCACTCTACATTACACTTACGGGTTCACGTTTTCGTAACGCATTTGGAATTTTATGCACAAGTTTCCTAATATGCAACTTGCAAGCTATATTTTCACTCTCCACATGGTGTATCATTGTTTTAACCGTGTAAGTTGCGCTTACTAACTGAATATTCTCCCTTTTCTTCTATCCTTAATATTCCTTTTATTTGGTTAACAAAACTTTTCTAGGAAATCTCACAAACTATCATTGCCAGAATTCTTCTTCACACGACCAGTGGGCATTTTTGTGAACGGACCATATTATGCATCGCTTTTTGTACACTTTTTCGTCGCTGTCAATCGATTTTGTGCTTTCGTTTATGCCACAAAATACAATCAGTTATGGTCGAAATCCAAGGCTATATTAGTTGGAGTTATGTCCTGGGTGGTCGGGACTACCATAAGCATGGCACATTTATACAGTAAGTTCATATATTATCACTCATATACCATCACTACTATAAGCATGGCACATTCATGTATTATCACTCATATACTATCACTACCATAAGCATGGCACATTTATACAGTAAGTTCATATATTATCCCTCATATACCATCACTACCATAAGCATGGCACATTTATACAGTAAGTTCATATATTATCACTCATATACCATCACTACTATAAGCATGGCACATTCATACAGTAAGCTCATGTATTATCACTCATATACTATCACTACCATAAGCATGGCACATTTATACAGTAAGTTCATATATTATCACTCATATACCATCACTACTATAAGCATGGCACATTCATACAGTAAGCTCGTATATTATCACTCATACTATTACTACCATAAGCATGGCACATTTATACAGTAAGCTCATATATTATCACTCATATACTATCACTACCATAAGCATGGCACATTTATACAGTAAGCTCGTATATTATCACTCATACTATTACTACCATAAGCATGGCACATTTATACAGTAAGCTCATATATTATCACTCATATATTATCACTTATATACTATCACTACCATATGCATGGCACATTTATACAGTAAGCTCATATATTATCACTCATATACTATCACTACCATAAGCATGGCACATTTATACAGTAAGCTCATATATTATCACTCATACTATTACTACCATAAGCATGGCACATTTATACAGTAAGCTCATATATTATCACTCATATACTATCACTCATATACCATCACTACTATAAGCATGGCACATTCATACAGTAAGCTCATATATTATCACTCATATACTATCACTACTATAAGCATGGCACATTTATACAGTAAGTTCATATATTATCACTCATATACCATCACTACTATAAGCATGGCACATTCACACAGTAAGCTCGTATATTATCACTCATATACTACCACTACCATAAGCATGGCACATTTATACAGTAAGCTCATATATTATCACTCATATACTATCACTCATATACCATCACTACTATAAGCATGGCACATTCATACAGTAAGCTCATATATTATCACTCATATACTATCATTACCATAAGCATGGCACATTTATACAGTAAGCTCATATATTATCACTCATATACCATCACTACTATAAGCATGGCACATTTATACAGTAAGTTCATATATTATCACTCATATACCATCACTACTATATGCATGGCACATTCATACAGTAAGCTCATATATTATCACTCATATACTATCATTACCATAAGCATGGCACATTTATACAGTAAGCTCATATACTATCACTCGTATACTATCACTACCATAAGCATGGCACATTTATACAGTAAGCTCATGTATTATCACTCATACTATTACTACCATAAGCATGGCGCATTTATACAGTAAGCTCATATATTATCACTCATATACCATCACTACCATAAGCATGGCACATTTATACAGTAAGCTCGTATATTATCACTCATACTATTACTACCATAAGCATGGCACATTTATACAGTAAGCTCATATATTACCACTCATATACCATCACTACTATAAGCATGGCACATTCATACAGTAAGCTCGTATATTATCACTCATACTATTACTACCATAAGCATGGCACATTTATACAGTAAGCTCATATATTACCACTCATATACCATCACTACTATAAGCATGGCACATTCATACAGTAAGCTCGTATATTATCACTCATACTATTACTACCATAAGCATGGCACATTTATACAGTAAGCTCATATATTATCACTCATATATTATCACTTATATACTATCACTACCATATGCATGGCACATTTATACAGTAAGCTCATATATTATCACTCATATACTATCACTACCATAAGCATGGCACATTTATACAGTAAGCTCATATATTATCACTCATACTATTACTACCATAAGCATGGCACATTTATACAGTAAGCTCATATATTATCACTCATATACTATCACTCATATACCATCACTACTATAAGCATGGCACATTCATACAGTAAGCTCATATATTATCACTCATATACTATCACTACCATAAGCATGGCACATTTATACAGTAAGTTCATATATTATCACTCATATACCATCACTACTATAAGCATGGCACATTCATACAGTAAGCTCGTATATTATCACTCATACTATTACTGCCATAAGCATGGCACATTTATACAGTAAGCTCATATATTATCACTCATATACCATCACTACTATAAGCATGGCACATTTATACAGTAAGTTCATATATTATCACTCATATACCATCACTACTATAAGCATGGCACATTCACACAGTAAGCTCGTATATTATCACTCATATACTACCACTACCATAAGCATGGCACATTTATACAGTAAGCTCATATATTATCACTCATATACTATCACTCATATACCATCACTACTATAAGCATGGCACATTCATACAGTAAGCTCATATATTATCACTCATATACTATCATTACCATAAGCATGGCACATTTATACAGTAAGCTCATATATTATCACTCATATACCATCACTACTATAAGCATGGCACATTTATACAGTAAGTTCATATATTATCACTCATATACCATCACTACTATATGCATGGCACATTCAT